CTTCCAGTCAGTTGGCCAGATAGTTGTCTTCCAAATTTCTTGGCAGAGATGAGTGAGTGCCTCCTGTGCCACCTCACTTTCTTGAAAGATTTCAATTTGTATTCCATCAATTCCTGGAGGGAGCCTTGTTCTTTGCCTATTCCTTCAATATACCTTGGACTTCCTCCTTCAGTATCATTGGCTCTTGATCATGTGCTCTCTCTTCAAACGGTTGAACATCAACCATCTCCTTTTGGTATAGTGACTGTGTATTCCTTTCATTTTCTTTTGATGCTTTCTGTATCATTCAGTAATTTGCCCAGAGAATCCTTCAATAATGAAAGTCGAGGCTTGAATTTTTTCTTCAGTTCCCCCAGCTTGAAAAATGCTGAGCGTGTTCTTCCTTTTTGGTTTTCTGACTTCAGAAACTAAACTTTCTGTTAAGCTCTTGTACTTCCTCATTTCTTCCTTTTGCTTTAGCATCTCTACGCTGGAGAGCAAGCCGTATATACAATTCAACAAATTCTACATGTTAAATTCAGTGACATTATTAATCCTTTAAGTTGCAGAACTGTTTTCATCTTTTTCTGAGTTGTTCCTCCCCAACAACATAAATTCACCTCCCTATGAGTTTCCTCCCTAATCTTTTGAGTTACTGTTGTCAATATAATACCATGTAGGTAGATCTTGAGTCCTGGTGTGGCGCTGTGGATTAATACACTCAACCACAAGGTCAGTTTGAATCTCAAGGTTGCTGGCTCAAACCCATCAGCCGCTCCTTTGAAACTCTAAACAGGGTCACTATGAGTCGGAACCAATTTGACAGCACTTATCAGCAACAACAGATAGATCTTAAAGGAGCACAATGCTCCAAGCAGAGATTCTTAACTCGACATTTCTAAACTACTATTTGGTTTTAAGAAGACTTAAGAGTCCTGGTGTGGCGCTGTGGATTAATGCGTCAGACTGCAGAGCCATTTGAACTGCAAGATTAGTGGTTCAAGCTCACCAGCTGCTCCTCAGAAACCCTATACAGGGTCACTATGGGTCGATACCGACTCGATGGGACTTAACAACAACAATAGGGATATTTGTGGTTTAAGACTTAGATTATCTCAGGACAAGAATTATTGAGTTCATTCAGCCTCAGTGAGCCCAGAAAGTCTGATTCCATCAAAATTGATTATTCTGTTCTGCATTTCCTCCCTTTTGATTGGAATTCTTCTTTGATCAAGATGTTCAGCATCACTGCTAAAGCCATGTAGGGGCCATGTCTCCTGGCTTCACAAGGAGGAAAGAGAATCAAACTCAGACTTGGGCTGATATTGAAGTAGGGTTCAGACAGGCTTCTGCCCTGTTGTTGTTTTTAGGTGCCATCGAGTCGGTATCGACTCATAGTGACCCTCTGCACAGCAGAACGAAACACTGCCTGATTCTGTGCTAACCTCACTACTGTTGCCACACTTGAGTCCATCGATGCTGCCATTTGGCCAATCCATCTTGTTGGGGGTCTTGCTCTTTTTCTCTGACCCTCTACCTTACCAAACATGATATCCTTCTCCAGAGACTGGTCCCTCCTGACAATATATCCGAAATATGAGAGACAAAGTTTGGCCATCCTGGCCTCCAACGAACACTCTGGCTGCACTTGTTCCAAAACTGATCTATTGGTTCTTTTGGCAGTCCATGGCACTTTTAATATTCTCCTCCAACACCATAACTCAAAAGCATCAATTCTTCTATGGTCTTCCTTCTTCACTGTCCAGCTTTTGCATGCATATGAGGTTATTGAAAATACCATGGCTTGGGTCTTCAAGCTGACATCTTTGCTCTTCAACACTTTAAAAAGGTCTAGTGCAGCAGATTTGCCCAACTCAGTATGTCGTTTGATTTCTTGACTGCTGCTTCCATGAGTGTTCATAGCTGATCTAAGAATGATGTCCTTGACAACTTCAATTTTTTTCTCCGTTGATAAGAACGTTGTTTATTGGTCCAGTGGTGAGGATTTTTGCCCTACAACCTTCTTTATCCTATTCTGACATCTACCTGCTTCCCTCTTTTCATTCCAGCACTCTCGGCTTGACATTTGGGTTCGGTAATCCATCGCAATGGTTACATTTGGGTTCGGTAATCTATTGCAATGGCTACACCGATCTCTTAACAATACTCAGGATGATGGGGTGAACAGGGCACAAACCCAACTCAGGATACAGCACTTCTCCAGTCCGGAACGCTTCTTGTCTGCCATACTGCAGGCACAGCTCCCTCGGGTTCCTTTAGCCAGTCTGTGAATGCCCAGCGGGTACATTCTTCAAGCCAGTCTTCTGCCCATAGGCACTCAGCTTTACTCAGTCCATAGGCTCAGAGCTGGAAGCTGCTCGGTCTCTCCATGCCACCGCCTCTACTGTCACCTTTTACTGTTTCATGCTTCACTCATGCTCTTCTTTCTTGATGGTCCTGGGGCCTTCCATTTCTGCTTCTGAGGTGACTCCTTTTAAGCCTAGCTGGAAGGCAAAACTAACCAATCCCAGCCTTTGAGTCCTGTAAACTTTTATTTGCATGGTCCTGGTGAGGCACCGTGGGATAACTGACTAGACCACAAGGTAGGTTTGAACCGAGAGGGTGGTGGTTCAAACTCACCAGTAGCTCCTCGGAAACTACACATGGTTGCTATGAGTCAGAACCGACTCCACAGCACATAACAACATCAGATCACTTGGTGAGAATTAAGATGATTTGGATAGAAAAGCCCTATCAAGTCAATTCAAGGCACCACAATCACCATCTCTTAATCTCCCTTGGATAAGAGTCCCATACAGGCTGGGGTCCCCTTCCCCCAAGTTGGTCAGATGAGGAGAAAGGACCATCTCCCAGAAGCCACCCAAGCTGTGGGGTCCCCCACACCTGGCCCACAGTCACCACCAACACAGATAAACACACAATACATTGGGCCCAAGGCGAGACCCTTCCAATGCAGAGAAGTCTCTGAGTGGTCTCGAACATATAGGTGAGTCGGCACTGTAGGGGACCACATGCCCTACAAGGCCTGCTAGCGTCCCATCCCCCATGGACACTGCCCCGGGTTCTAAAGCCACAGTCAAATCCATCCGACTCCTAACAACCCCATAGGACATAGCAGAACTGCCCCCTAGGGTTTCCAGGGCTGTTCATCATGGGAGCTGACAGCCAGTCTGTCCCCTGGAGTAGCTGTGGGTTTGAACCACTGATCTTAGTTCGCAGTGAGGGGCTCTAATCACAGCACCACCAGGGTTCCTGTTTATTATCATCAAAGTGGGGGAAACCCCACACAAATATGGTCTGGGACAGGTTAGCATAAGAGGGCAGGAAACAAGTGAAGACCCAGGAAAAATAGAGCCGGCCAGGCAAAGATTTGGACAGAAGCCAAAGAGAAGAGGGAGTGAAGTTGTGCAGGTGAGCGGGCAGGGCTGGGAGGCTGTGAAAGAGAGGACGGACTCCAGGACCCAAATGGGCACCTCCTCGTCAGGGCGCAGTGTCAGGAGGAGGCTCACACCTGCAGGCTGGCCCCAAACTTTTCATTGAGAAAGGTCCCATTCAATCTCTACACTTTGGGTGTGAGCAGTCCACTGGGGCCTGACCTGAGGCCCCCAGGTGAGTCCAAGGTTGCTGTCAGGTGCAATCGAGTTCCTTCAGATTCAGAGTGACTCTTTGTACAACAGAACTAAATCCTGACCAGTCCGGCACTGCCCACGTAACACAAAGTCTTATCATCCTTCTTCTAAGGAGCAGGCCACTTTCTGTCTCCCAGCCCATCTGGTAGCCCCCAGCCAGATACCCTGCTACCATACGTCTTCCCTCAATGATGGTCCAGACCAAACTCAATAAAAAAAAGAATAATTTATTGTCAACAAAGGCGATATATACAAAGGGCGTGGGGAAGTGGGGACGTGGGTGAGGGAAGAGGCACCCATGTGGGGCAGGAAGAGGTAATGGAGGCCACAGGTCGGGGAGGAGAGGCGTCCTCTGAGGTAGTGGGACTCGGTTCAAACCTCATGACCACCTCTTGTGTAAGGCACTGTGCCAAGGGAGAATGGTGGGAGGCTAAGAAGGGGCGTTGTGGGGACACAGAGGTCTGGGTAAGCAAAAGGGTGTTCTCCACCGGCCCAATGCCCCACCTAGGGCCTGGCCAAGGCCTCGCCGGGGCAGATGCTCGCCCGTACGCGAAGCAGCAGTGGCTGCAGCCCACCCTCTTCGCCACCCTACCCTTGCACGTTTCATTTTCTGCACCAGGCAGCCAAGCGGGAGTAGCTCCAAGTTTTAACCCAAAGAGGATGCTGCGGCCTCCCACTCCCAGGAAAATTAGCACTTCTACACCACCCCCTGCCTTGGGCTCCCCCCGCACAGGGGTGCTGGATTCTGACAGGACTTAAGGCCAGTCCCGGGTGTCACCTGCTCCCACACCCTTGGTGCCCGAGGGATGCTTGGGCCAGTCCTGCAGGAAGCTGACGGCTGGTGGTTCCTCAATTCGCACTCGAATAACCTGGAGATCCAGCGTCCCGCGAAGCCCCGGAGGGGGAGCTGGGCAGGGGTGGGAAAGAGAGCAGAGTCAGGGCCCCAGAACCCACCTCAAGGGTGCTCCCCAAGAGCCTGTGCAAGCCTCACCCTGTGTCTCCAAGGCCCAGCACGTGGCACAGGGGAAAGTGCAAGGATAGGAGTGGCACTCTGTTGACCAAGGACCACACCAAGTCCTCACCCGGATGCCCAGCTCCTCACAACAAGCCCCTTTAGCACACGGGTACTTGTCCCCTCCCCGCTTAGTTTCAGCTGACTCAGCTTCATCTAAGTTACTACAGATCCTAGCTCAGCGAGAGGCTGGGACTGAGGGGAGAAAGACCAGGATAGAGGACTAAAGAAGGGAATTGTAAATACTCATGAAAGGGTCACAAATAGCACCTGAAGAAACTCCATTATCTTTTCATTCCATTTTTGAGGGCCCCTTGTATTAAAGCCATGAATTTGAATGAGATCACCCAGGATGTGCTGACAAAGCCCAGCCTGGGGCAGGGGAACTCATTCATTCAACATGTTCAAACCTCACTGCCACTGAGTCAGTTCTGACTCACGGTGGCCCTATAGACGGAGTCCAACTGCTCCCTAGGGTCTGAGACTGGGAGACTTTATGGGAGCAGTCAATCTCACCTTTCTCCTGAGAGGCAGCTAGTGGGTTTGAACTCACCACTCCCTATGTTAAACGGCACCTACTCCAGGCCAGGCACTGTGCTGGGGCAGCGGAAAAGAGTCAATGAAACAGACGACCATAACTGACCTCAGGGAGTGTACATTCCAGAAAAGGGAAAGCGGTATGAGAATGCCTCCAAACCAGGGGAGCTGAGAAAGGATGAGCAGGAGAAACTGAGGAGGGAGAGCCAGTGAGGAAGGAGAAAAGCCCAGCAAGGAGGTGTCTCCAGGAAGTAGGGAAGCCTGGGCCCACCATGACTGCCACACCAAGACAGATGAGGCTCTAGAGCTGACCACCAACCACTGTGCTAAGAGCAATTTCAGCCTGGAGTGGTAAGGATGATAGTTTGATAGGAATGGATTCCAGAGAAAGAAGAGGCAGTTAGCACAGAAACACTCTCAGGAATTGCTGAAAAGGTCAGGGGACAAATGAACAGTAGTCAGAGAGGGCTGAGGGGTCCAGAAGGGAGAGATGACAGCGAGCTGGAGGCTGATGGGAAAGATGCAGAAGCGAGAAAACAGACGGTACGGACAGGAGAAGGGACACCACAGTGCTTGGCTAGGAGGCCGTAACAGCAGAAGGCAGAAAATTGAGCCTGGGTTTTTGGGCAGGTCTGCCTGCACGGGTGCAGTGGGAGAACGCAGGCTCCGGCCTAGTACCAGAGTTGCCCAAGCCTGTTTCCTCTTCTGTAAAATGGGAACCATATTTTACACTGAAGGGTCAATTCTTCCTGGTAGCATGGAGGGTAGAGGTGTGTGGGGTGGGGGTGGGGTATGGGAGTATGAGTCAGAGACTGAGACCCCAGGTGCAGCAGAGACCTCCTTGCTAAACTCTCAAGACCAGAGCCCCAGGGCCGGGAATAGTCACCAGATGGATCCCTCCTCCTCCAGAGGGTGGGGCTGAGTCCCTTTCTCTTGTTTCTACATGACGCCTGTCTGAGGAGGGACCCCAAGAATGTTACCATCAAAATAAAAAGTCAAAGCAATCATCAGCCACCCGCCTTTCTAATAAAGCCTGCCTGAGGCCTTCCTTTGTTCCAGGCACTGCATTATAGAGCAGTAAACAAAACCAGGACTGTAACACACACACACGCAGACACACTGTGGTCCCGCCGCTCTTCTTGGTCTAGTCTGGAAACACACTGGGTCTGGTCAAGAAATACATGCCAGATATCTAGGACCTACTTAAAAACCAGCGAGACAAAGTCATTTCCCCCCAACCTAGACACCCTCCCACTCTCATTCGCAAGACCCCTGGAGAGTTCTTGTAAGTCTTCCCTGCCTGCCTCACACACACATCCATCAGAGCTTTGCTGACCTGACCACAGCGACTGCTTCCAACGTCTAAGTTTGTGACTTTTTAAAGATGCACGATTTTTATTCAAGTCAAATCTCCATGGAACTTTAGTAACCGAAGAAACTCAAGGTAGAGGCATTGTAGCTGAAGCTTCACAGGCTTCTGAGAAACATGTTCGAACTGTGGGTTACTGCATCAGAAGAAACCACTGGCTTGGAGTCCTTGCTTGGCCTCAGAAACATCACAGGGCCCCTCCACCCCAACCCTCTATTTGCTTGACTGCCTCTGACCTGTCCCCACAAGCAGACAGTGAGTTTCTTGGGGACCAAGATTGCCTTGTTTTGTTATTAAGTACCACTGAGTCAGTTCCAACTCATAGTGACCCTATGCTAAACAGAAGAAAACACTACCTGGCTCTGTGCCTTGCTGCCCACTGGTATGACTAGGCCTACTGTTGCTGCCAACTGAGCCCATCCATCTCGTTGGGGCTACTTCTCCTTTTCACTGGCCCTCTACTCTGCCAAGGACGATGCTCTTCTCCAGGAACCGGTCCCTTCTGACAACATGTCCAAAGTATGAGAGATGAAGTCTCACCATCCTGGTTCCTTACATCGTTTCCGGAATGCTTCCCGTGGGGCAGGGCACTCACTGTTGGTACTGCTCAGGAACAGAGTGGCTGCAGGACTTAGTGTCTTCAGGAACTTCGGCCCATCTCCAAACTCTCAGTCCTGCTACTTCTGAGAACACCCCGAGTCTCCAGCACCCCAGCATCAATCGACTTGTCAGACCCGTTTCTTCATGGACTTACCCACACCCTCCACATGAGCCAGAAACCTCCATGATCCTCTTTTACATGTGAAGTTTGGATACAGGGTACCCCATGACTTGAAATGAAGGTTCCCTCCCAAGAATGAAGCCAACAGACCCATTACACAATGGAGGGGGCCAGCCATCCAGAGCAGAGGCATGGGGAGGGGCACGAGGTGGCTAAGGAAACTCAAATCCAAGCAAAGCACTGGGTCTGGGGAGGCAGGAATGTGGCTCAAGCCAAGACTCGAGACAGAAACCATGATCTATGTGATGGGGCGAGGCCTGTCTCCAGATCAGAAAAAGTTCACTATGGCAAACATACAGTTAATGAGACTAGATGTGCGCACACACATGCACACACATACGGTTTTGTGAAACACCTGAAGGATATAAGCTCTGAAGAACAGCTACTCCTGGTAGTGACTTGGGCCAACGGGTGACACACTGGTTCCTTCCTTGATGTATGGTGCACACCTCCTTTCAAAGAACTCTGCGGTATTTCTCTGGGTGCTAACTCCAAATGCATGTTGCAGACAAGCTGAGACAAGAAGTCAGGCACTCACTGCATGAATCCTTCATTCCTTCGAGAAACACTTCCTGAACCCTTGGGCTACTGTGACGCAAGACCTGTCTCTCCACTCCTCGGCTTTTCAGTGTAGGTCTGACCCTGTGCGAGCAAGTCCAGCTTTCAACCAGCAGCTTCAGCATAACCTTGGGCCTGTGCTCTGGAGAGTCAGGCTCAGTCTCTGCTCTACTGGTACACAGTCCAGTCTCAGTGTGGAGATGTGACTGGGCAGCAGAATACTGGCCCCTTACAATGCCCACAGCTCATTCCCTAGCACCGATGGGTGTTACATAACATGGCAAGAGGCAATGAAGGTATGAAATCGGCCTCCTGAGGAGCCTTTACAGTGTGATGGACCTTAGGTGGAACCCTGAGTCCTCCTCAGAACCTTATGAGGTGGACAGTCCCACTAGAAAGGACAAGCAGACAAGCCTGGAACAGTTAGAGCAATAAAAGACACATCTTCAAAGAAAGATCATCAGGAAAAACCCAAAACAAAAATGTCAGCATGACTGGCTACTACAAGAATAAGCAAGTTGTTTGCCGGGAAGCCATCAAGGCAAGCAATCAAGTTCCTTTAGGACAAAACCCCCTCTAAGACTGAAACTCAAAGGAACACATGAGCAGGCATGTAAGCTTGCTGGTGCCCATGTTGGTCTACTGGTGAATGGAAGAAGGGGAAAGGCAGCAATGAAGAAATGGGCTGAGTTCAACCACATTCCACAGACTCCTGTGGACCTGGAGATGAGATAAAGAAAAGCTGGTTGGTCCAAAATCTGGTGAGACCTGTGGACACCTGAGCCCATGGACAAGGGCATAGCCATGGAGGTCCAGAGCTGAGAGTGAACCATTCAGCTGATATGGATAGAGATGGGCAACTTAGATATTGGCTTCATAAAATATTTTGTTATGTGCCGTGGAGTCAGTTGTGAATATAGTCACCCTGTACAGGGTTTCCGAGGCTGTAAATCTTTATGGAAGCAGAAAGCCTCATCTTTCTCCCGCCTAATAGCTGGTAGTTTCAAACTGCTGTCCCTGAGGTTCGCAGTCCGATTCATTAACCACTATGCTACGATTCATTAACCACTACGCTACGGGGTGATAAAGGCACAAAGTGACTGGCTTACAAGGTTCAAGGGGGAGCTTAGTTTAATAAGTGTGTGGAGACAAAGTCTCCACCAAATAGTTTTCATCTTGTCTAGATGGGTCTGGTTAAAAAAGATGGGGATAAGATTCTAATAATTCAACAATGAGTAATTATTATCATGACTAAGTTCAACTGTCACAATTGTAAAGGTAGAAGTTTTAACAAAAACAGGGAAGTGGTTGATCTTACAGTCCAGAAACAAAGGACCCTAGGACCATTAAGAGAGAAGAGCACAAGCAGAATGCAGGACCTTATCCAGAGAAGCAGTGACACCAGACATAGAGGCAGAGATGGGGACATGAAGAGAGGGAGCAGCTGAGGACTCTAAATTCATGGGACGTGAGTGATTAAGAGCTACCAGCCAGGAGGCAGACTTGCAGAATGCACCCTTTGGTGGTGTAAATTATTATATATGCCTGAGTGTTTAAAAAAAAAAAAAAAAGCTTAGAGAGAAACATTGGTAACAGATGGTACATGGTGGGAGATTACAGTCATTGTAATGAAACAAGGTGTATGATTTGTTGAATGTAAAACTGGTGACCTGCCCTGTAAACTTTCACTCAGTCCCCTAATAAAAACCTTAAAACAATAATAAAAAGAGGGAATGAAGGCGGCAGAACTCAAGGGTCTTTAAATGGGGAAAGGGAGGAAGAAGACATACCCGACAGGGCATCCTGAGAGACTCAACCGGCCACTGCTGGTTTTTAAGATGGAAGGAGGCTACAAGCCAAAGAATGCAAATGGCTACTAGAAGCTGAAATAGGCCAGGAAATAGTCTCCCAGAGCCTCAGAAAGGAACCCAGCCCTGTTGATGCCAGATTTTAGCCCATCTGACCTACACAACTGTAGTGTTTGAAGCACTAAGTTTGTGGTTGTTACAGTAGCAACAGGAAAAGAAAAAGAAAAAGAAAGGATTAACTGCTGGGAAGGAACCCTTTGTAATATTCAGCCCCTTTCATGACAAGATATTTTTCTAAGGGAGTTCTGGGTGGTGCAAACTAATGTTCTTGGCTGCTAACCAAAAGGCTGGAATTTCAAGTCTTCCCTGAGGCATTTCAGAAAAAGGGCCTGGTGACAACCACTGAAAACCCTATGGCCTTCCTGGGTTTGTAAGTCTCCCAAAATGATTGGTCAGGCTGCAATCTGCCAAAGGATCAGCTCTAATGATTGGTCCATTTCCTATCTGTTTGCAATCCATGCAATAAGACAGATCAGTTTACAATCAGCCTAAAGAGTTGGTTGAAGAAAACCATGACTTGAAGTTGACAAGGTCTCCTGTGTAAGTTTCGAGGGGACCCTCCAGATCAACAGGAGCCAGAAGAAAGCACATCCTCTCGAATTGAGGTGCCCCCTGTGCTGAGAACCTTAGAGACAGGTCAAGGACTGTACTGAGCTGTTAATACTGAAGACCGAGAAATGGTAGCAAACACAGCAGACCCAAGTGACAAAGAAACAGTGTCAGTAATGGGAGCAGCTGGCGGGAACCACCAGACTGGTACACAGCCGCAGTGGATGTGCTGGTTCACAGAAGAGGTCTGACACACACTGCACATCAATGTAAATGTTCAGCCTGAGAGCTGTCGGATTTCTGGCCTAATCCTGGGACCGAGCCCAAGGTTGTCCCAAAGTGCTGAAGTGACAGCTGGACAGGCAAGCACAGGGGTCAGACCTCCCATGTGAAGTTGTGTAGAGACAGTGCGACAGCCATAGCCAATAAAGCAAAATCAAAGTAGACCCACATTAAAAAAACTGGGATGAAGGGAATACAATGACAGGCTGAAGCCCTAGAAGGGGAGAGCTGCAGGGGGCGTAGTGAGACCTTTCAGGAGATTGGGGCATTGGCAAGACTATGGAGGATGACACACATTAAAGTGTTGTGGTCAGCCACCACCTCTGAGCTGGGCACCACCGATCCTGACTCTGCTGATTAGGAGATCTGGCTCCTATGCAACATGCACAATGTTCGTGCTTTCTAAATGGGAACTGAAGTTTCTGGCAGGGAGTTGACACAGAATTCTTCTTGATCCAGCTATTATCTGGTCTGCCTGTATTTTAGAAATTTGGGTCTATTCTGGTTCCACGTCATCAGCCAAAGTTGAACCAGGAAAAACTAGTTTGAAGCCTTCAAAATCCCAGCCATACTGCGCCTGGCCTGAGGTGATGGCACACCTGACGTGCCGATGCGCTCATACAGTGACACAGAAACAAACTTGGGTAATGTGGGAGGGCAAGTGGGTCTCCTTTTAGACATAAATGGGTTCCTCTCCTATAGAGTGCTCATCAGGATAGATGAGACGGACTCACCTGAAATCTGTTGCTTACTATTTACTTTATACAAATAACAAAACTGCTTTTCAAGCGCTAACCCTTCGTAAAGTGTGACTGTGTGTGTGATCCAATCGGATTGGATAGCAGAGGACTTATCTGGCCTGGGAATTTAACAGTATAAACTGTATGTCTCTGTAAATTTATGTGCGTGCAACATCACAGTGGAGCACAGTTCTACCGGGGCTGCCATCTTGGCAACTGTTTTTTCCCTAAGGACCAAATGAACTGTATATAAAAGAACTGTGTTGTTTATCAGTAAAACTCAGTATTAAAACACAATTAGTACTGTTCTTACTGTTAGGTGTCGTCAAATTGGCTCTGACTCAAAGCGACCTGTATAGATTTCCAAGGTGGGTTTGAATCAAAGACCTTGCGGTTAAAAGTCCAGGACTCCAATTACTAGAATGACTAATTTCTTAACTAGTTTTTCCCTAGGAGGTTTATGTTCTTCACTGGTCTATTCTTGAGCCCTGTTACCTGTTTGAATCCCTGACTATTCATCCCTCAGGGTGAGGAATGCTTGCATCAACTACATGTGTGAACCTGGGTGTCACATGGGCTTTTGGAAAGCACTGGCCGAGTCCAGCCAGAGGAACCATTACAGGAAAACTCCTAAGCAAGGGTCAGATCAGCTTAATTTTCTGGCCAGCCTCCTTGACCATTCAAGTCCCATTGCCCTTGGCCCTGTCTCCCAGTCTCAGTGAGGCATCCTCTCGGGAGAGCTCACCTGGAGAGGGGCCTTCCAGCTGGCTTAGGCCTCCTGTTGTCTTTCCCTCTTTGGGCGAGTCCTTGTTCTCAGAGGCCCTGAGCTGGGTGTGGGAGAAGAGCTGGAGGACAAAGCCTGGGGGGAAGCTGCCATCGGTGAAGTGGCGGACTTCTGCTGGGGCTGCGAAAGTCTCCGTGGGTGAATCAGGTGATGAGGGGGTATCTAGGAAGGGAGGGCACGGTGAAACTGTGAGGTCAGGAGCCCAGGCTCCAGGTGGGCTCCCACCCCCTCTCTTCAAGTACTGCCCGCAGAGTTCAGGTCCACATCCCTGGGCCTCCCCTTCACCTGGGTCAGGGTCCAGGTTTTTGGTCATATGCCTGCTCTTTTTTTTTCTGACAGGCTCTTCCCCAGGGGGCTCCTTCCATTTCTGACCACGGGGCTTCTTAGTTGCTGGTTCTGTGGCAAGGGCAGGTGCACCTGCAAAGAGAACACACCTTACACCGGGAACCATGTCTGAACTCCGTCTGCCCAGCAGCCTTCCTCCAACTCAGAACATGCCCCCCCCAATCTGTCTCAGACACACCGGCTGCCCAGATAACTGACCAGGAAGCTCAAGGTGGCGGAGTCCCTTGGAGCGGGTCCTTTTAGGTAAGACTGGCAAGGAGGGGTTGTCTTCAGGGTCGAGGAGAACGACGATTTCGGCAGGCATCCTGGGAGGATCTGGCTCCACATCCGGGCCAGAGTCTGAAGGAGACAAATGTCAGTGAGCCCCAAGTGTTTCGTTCCAACAGATTCAACACCCTCCCCTCTTTCCTGGCCAATTACCTGAGTTAGGTGGGGATGGTTGCTCAACTCGGACATCTTGCAAAAGAGCCACCCCCTCACTCCAGGCCTCCAGGATGTTGCTCTTCTCCGACTGACTCAGGTCCAAGGTGTGGGGATGCTGATCAAGGATGTGCGTGTGGGCCGTCTCGGCCGACGGGCAGCGAATCTCAGCACCACACACCATACACAGGGTCCGCCCGCTGCCTCCTGGGCTGTTCCCCACCAGGAACTCCTGCTCCCAAGACATTGGCTGCTTGGGTTCCTCACTGCCATCGCCACCGGCCTCCGATAGGCTGGGTCTAGACAGTGGAGTCTTTTCCTGCTGGGCCACTGTGGAGAGAGGAAAGAGTGTGATCAGGAAAGGTGTCCTCAGTTCACACTACCGACTTAGAATAGGACTCCCCAAGTTTGGTGCTGTGTGTATGCGGGGGTGTGTGTGTCTTTGGTGGAGACTTTCTATCCAAAGTCTTTTTCTCAGTTTCCCAGAAACCCACAGTGAGCCCAGGCTTGTCCTGATGCTACAGTTGCTGGTGCCGTCAAGTCAATTTCAGCTCATTAACCACCATGTGGTGGAGCAGAACCACCCCACAGGGTCTTCCCAGCTGTAATCGCCACAGGAGCAGACCAGAGTGCTGGCTGGGTTTGAACTGCTAACTCTTTCTTTCAGGGTAGCATAATCACTTGCATCACCAGGACTCCTGGCACGCTGTACCCACTCCCTTACATCTTCTCTTGTGTAGTCCCATCCGGCTCAGGTATCTTCTCCATGAGTGAAGCCTTCCTGAACCATAGCGTGTGTTGCAAAAGAGGTGATGTTGGCCCACATGGAGCTCGAGGCTTCTGCAAGTGCCCATGATCGTTACAGCTACAATAGAAAACTCCAACCAGAGATGGTGGGACAAAATACAAACATAGGGGCCCCAGCACCAGGAAGTAGAGTCCTGGTGTGGTGCCGCAGGATAATGCGCTGGACCGCAAGGTTGGTGGTTCAAACCCACCAGTTGCTCCTTGGACCCAATACAGGGTCGCTATGAGTCAGAACTGACTCAGTGACACATAATAACACCACCTGGAAGCAGGGTGTCCTCCCTATGGGGAATAGGGAGAGCCTGGGAAGGCAGCAATGGAGGAGGAAGCATATGATATGGATACAAGTAGTAGTTTAGCATTAGAAGACCTAAGTCCAAACCTGAGTCCCACTTATTTACTGACCGGACAGTAAACCTGACTTCCACGTTCCCATTGGGCTTCTGTCCCCTTCACTACTCCCAAACAGCTGTCGCCAAGATCACTAATGCTAATTTCAGCCATTGGTTTTCACAAGTCTTCATTTGACCAACGTCCCTTTCATCTTGATGTTCTTCATCAGGCTTCCAGAGTACCACCTTCCTTTGTTGTTGTTAAGTGCCTTTGAGTTGATTCCAACCCGTAGTGACCCTGTATAGGGTTTTCAAGGAGCAGCTGATAAGCTTGAACCACTGACCTTGCAGTCTGACGCATGAGCCCCACAGTGCCACACCGGGACTCCTTTGGACCTTCTTTTATTCCCCTCTGCTGGCTGAGTCACCTTTGCCATGACTTGACCATCTCCTTTTCATCTCTTCCCAGATACTAAGGCTCCCTCCCTGCCTCCAGGCCCTGGCTGGAGACCTAGCTTCCCACCAAAGCCTGAGTGTCAAATTCCTCCATCTGAAACCCATCCCCCTTCCCTGTCTCAGCTTCCTCCATTGCACATGGTCATGGATTGAATTGTGTCCCCCCAAAATGTGTGTCAATTTAGCTGGGTCATGATTCTCAGTGGTGTTTTAGTTATGTAATGTGGCAGTTCTGCAACAGTTCCCTGTGATGTGATCTGATGTGAGAAAACAGTAAGACCATTAAGAGTGGGCTGCAATATCCTTAATCCAATCACAATCCTGAGTGGTCTGATTGTAAGGGAGTTTCCTAGGTGTGTGGCCTGCAACTTTTCATCTTACATGAGACAAAAAGGGCAGAAGTCAGCAGAGAAGGAGAACTTATTACCACCAAGAACCAGGAAAGAACCAGGAGTGTATTCTTGGGGTCCCTACATTGAAGCGCCTAGATTCAGGGGAAGATGCCAAGAAACATGAATCTCCAAGGGATGGAGGCTGGACCTACTACAGAGCCAACAGAGAGAGACAGCCTTCCCTAGAGGCAGCACTCTGAACTGGACTTCTAGCCTCCTCAACTGGTATGGAAGGAGAGCTGGGGTGGCACTGTGGGTTAATGCGCCAGACTGCAAAGCCGTTTGAACGGCATGGTCAGCGGTTCAAGCTCACCAGCTGCTCCTTGGAAACCCGGTACAGGGTCGCTATGGGTCGGAATCGACTCAATGACACTTCACAACAACAAACTGGTGTGGCACTGCATGGTAAGCACTGGATCAATAGGTCGGTTTGAACCACACGGCTGGGACTCAACAGCACTTAACAACAACAAACTGTCAGAATACAGTTTTGTTTGTTAAAAGCATCCGCTTGTACTATTTTTCTGTTATACCAGCACTAGAGAACCAGAGTCCTGGTGTGGTGATGTGGGATAATTCACTGGACTGCAAACTCAGTTTGCACTTCGAGGACTGAGGTTCAAACCGACTCAGTGGCACTTCACAATGACAGAGAACTAAGCCATACATTACCATCACCTGACAGGATGAATGAGTCTTTACTTATGGTGCGTCCCCTCACTACACTGCAAGCTCTGTAACCACAAAGGCTTCTGACCATTCCTGCTGGTTATCTCTGGCACCTAGAACAGTGCCCGGAGACCAGTGACTCTGGAACAACTCCATCTCCAGCCTGGAGTCATCAGAGTCCTCCAGGATTCAGTCCTTGGACCCCTTCTCTGCCCACCTCCCTCCTTCCTCTGAAAGCCTCCAACCGGCTAGCTGTTGACAACTCCCCCATGTATTAAGACCTCCAGCCAGAGTCTCAGGAAATCTGGACTCCCACTTACCATAGTCTAACCTTAACTCCCCCAATCTCCCGCACACCTACACTCCAGTCTTCCCCATCATCTAAGTAAATGAGCTCATCCTTCTAGATGTTCAGATCAAAAATGCTGAATTCATTCTTTCTCTGACAACAGCCCAAGTTTCCCACCAAGTTTCTGCTTCAGCTCCTTTGTACATGGCTCCTCTCTCTGCTTGAAAAGCTTTTCCTCTAGCTATCCACAAGGTGAGTGCTTTAGCTCCAGGCCAGTGCCCAAACCTTCCTATATTAGCCAAGCATCCACTGACCACTAAGTGTGGCTAATAAAATACTCATTCTCCCCCTTCCCTTTCCTCCTCATTCTGCGCTAGTGTTCTATGAATCAATTGTCATCACTCCAGCTAGTAAGCACGGCTTCCTATGCTTTATTTCCAGCCCTTTGCACCTTTGTTGCTGTTGAGAGCTGAGTGCCTTCAAGTAGGTTCTGAGCCATAGCGACCCAATATAGGGCTTTTAAGGAGTGGCTGGTGAGCTTGAACTGCTGACCTTACAGTTCAAACTAACCTGGCAGCCCAGGGCTTAGCCCACAGCGCCACACCAGGACTCCTACAGTAACACAAAGTAAAAACCAAACCTGTTGCCATTCATTTGATTTGAACTTGTGGCAACTCCATGTGTGCAGAGCACAGCTGTTGCATAAAGTTTTCAAAGCTGTGACCTTTAAGGAGTGTAGCACCAGGTCTTTATTCTGAGGCACTCCTGGGCAGGTTCTAACCACTAACCTTGTGACTAGTTGTCAAGTGCTTACTGTTTGCATCACCAAGGAACTGCTGGAATATAGAAACCAAAACCAAACCTACTGCCATTGGATGAATTCTGATTCATAGAGACCCTACACAGATTTTCTGAGAACTGTAAATCTTTAAACAGACAGCCTCACCTTTCTCCTCAGTTCCTTGGGAATTGATTTAACAGCACTTGACAACAGTAACAGGATTTCCAAAGAGCGGCTGGTGGATTTGAACCATCAACCTTACTGTAAACACCTCCAGAGATCCTACTTGGGATATAGAAGGTGACCATTATTTTGTTGTTTCTAGATTTCTGTTTCCTTATTTCTATCAATGGGGACGGAATCCTGGTGTGCAGGATAAGCACTGAACGGCTAACCTTAAAGCCAGCGGTTCTAATCCATCAGCTGTTCTTTGGGAACCCTTATAAAGGCTCACTAAAATTCAGAACTGTACACCTTTAAGGGACTAGCTATTGGAGAAGGTGAAGACATTTGCATTCCCAGAGTCTTCCAAAGATAGCCCTTTGTTTTTCATATCCTGGGGGCTAAAGAAATGGTGAAGGGGGAGGGGAAAGTCAGTGTTTCTAGATTGTTCCTCAGTTCTCCCTCGGTGGCTGAGTCCCCCCTCCCCCCACTGAAAAGCACCTCTTTCCATAATGGATATGGTATGCAGGCCCATTCACCCCCACCCCCACTCGCTAGAGGCTGACACCTGTGGCTTACGCAAGCGGAAGGCCTGGGGCTGCGGAGCCCAAGGCTTCAGCAAAGCTTGATACCTGCAGAGCCCACAACACTTTCCCCAGAGAGCGCAGCCACAGTCCTCCGAATCGCTTCCAACACCTGGCTGCGGCACCAGGCTAGGACCTGGCGGCCTCGAAGCCCATCGGCCCCGTCCCCGTCGAGCCCCCTTCCCCGTCAACTGCCCCAGATACCCCAGGGCCAACAGGGGTCGGTCTGGTGTACTGGGCCCGGGCGAAAGGCCGCCCTATAATCCGATCTCCAGTGCACAGGGCACGGATCCAAGGTTCCGGACCCTGGTGGGGGTTGGGGTGGGGAGGATGCTGGGAGTCCCTCTGGCCAAACCCTGGAGGCGGGGCGGAGCGAGGGGACACCAGGGCCACGGCCCCTGACGCGGAAGTGGGGTCCCCTCCTACCTCACCTCTGAGCATAGGCTCCGGCCGCGGGATGACCGCCACTACCGTGGCTTCCGCCTCATCCTCCGCTTCCTCACACTTAAGCGTCACCTCGAAGCAGTCGAGCGCGGCGCCCTCGGCCTTCAGGGCCATAGTGTAGTCGGGAGCGCGGTGACCGGACGCCGCGGGAGGGCGTGCAGGCCTCGGAGCCACAGCGGCCGCCACCTGGCCGCAGCCACCTCTGCGCCGCGGTCGTTCGACGGCCCGGCCTATGTCGAGCGCATCCAAGCCTCCCAGAGGCCGCGGAGCGTTGAGACCCCGGGTGGGGAGGGCTCAATCCGGGGCCCCAGCCCCCCGCCGCTTCCTTTTATGGAGGCTCAAAGTCGGCGCCCGCCAGCAGCCCGCCCCGGCACGCCCCCGAGCCCGTGTAGCCAATCACGCTTCTCATCCTCCTAGGCCCGCCCCTGGTCCCTCAGAGACCTCGCCCTCCGAGCAATCGCGCAGCCCGAAACTAGCCCCACCTCCTCAGCGCGCATCTGTGTTAGACTCCACTGGACTCTCAGGAGGCGGGAATGTTGTGAGTGGGTTCTCTATCGCCCCTCCCTGTAAGGGTCCTCCTGAGGTAAAAAGGACCCCGAAATTTCTCCCAGCTGGGGATGTCGAGAGCCGGTGAGTCACCCTTCTCTGAGATACCAGTCAGGCATGTTTTCTGGCGTTAAGAGCGCTTGTGTCTCTACCAGGATTTTGGTCAATGTCCCTTTTCAGGTTTTCCAGAACACAGAAGATGCGTTGGGCTGGAAAAGAGCCTGTGGGGGGAATGGTAACGGACTTGACACGGAAGAATGGAGACTAAATTCTTTCTAATTTGCCTGTTCTGTGACCTTGGGCACTTTACGCTTTCTTATACCCTTAGCCTAGCCCATTCGTTCTTTCAAAAAAATATTATGGAGCCTTCTGGACAAGAGAATGCAAAGATGAAGAGCGACCAAGTGGAGTGTGACATACAGACCAGCCTCAGATTATGAAGTCCATTTTCCGAATTTGGGAAGATTTTGTGAACTGCCCAAGGTCATACAGCAAGCCCTTGGGAGCCTCAAGACCAGAACGCTTTTACCTCGGTGACAAGGATTTCCTCCAGAATGGACAGAGCTTTCTTCTGGCCTCTATCTAGAGCTGGTTCTCTGAATTCAGACTTAGGAAACTGTGAGAAAATAGATTTCTGTTCAGTAAAGCCACTCACTTGTCAGGGAGTACCGCAGAAAACCACTAAAGTCAAGCTCAACTATGCAGAACTCATTGTCTCCTTGATTAGAAAATACTGACAGCTCTTCCGGCTCCACCTAAACAGGAAGGGAAGAATGGTGGAAAAGAAAGTCCATAAAACTCAAATGGCCACTCCAAAAGGCAATTCCAATTTTTGAATGAATGTCATAGTAAAAACAATAGAGCCGTGCTGTCCTGGTGTGGTGCTGTGGGTAAAGCACACAACCACAGGGTCTGAGATTGGAAGCCCTATACAGGGCCACTATGAATTGGAACCAATTCGATGACACTTAAAAGCACAAGAACACTGTCTAGCAGCAGGAACTGGCTAGTTAAATGATCATTTGGTTGTTGTTGTTAAATGCCATTGAGTGGGTTCCGATTCATAGTGACCCTGTATGGACTTTCCAAGGAGCAGCTGGTGAGTTTGAACCACTAACCTTGTGGTCCAGTATTTATTCTACAGTGCCACACCAGAATGCAGATGGTGTAGTGGTTGTTGTTGTTAAGTGCCATCAAGTCAGTTCCCACTCATAGCGACCCTGTATAGGGTTTCCGAGGCTGTCAATCTTTACAGGAGCAGAAAGCCTCAACTTTTTCCTGTGGTACGGTTGGTAGTTTAGAACTGCTGACCATGAGGTTACCAGCGCAACTCATAACCACTATGCTACTAGAGTTCCATACAGGTGCTGTTGTTGTTGTTGTTAGATGCCATCAAGTCAGTACTGACTCATAGCAACCCCTACGCACAACATATGAAACACTGCCTGATCATGGGCCAACCTCACAATTGTTGCCACGCTTGAGCCCACTGATGCTGCCACTTGGCCAATCCATCTTGTAGGCAGCAGCAAAAAGGATTAATATAAAGATGGTAACAACCTGGAAAAAACATTCCTGAAATAATGTTAAGTGTGAAAGCTCACAAACATATTACATTATAAATGTTAAAGGAAACTTTGTGGAAGATAGTGATAACAGTTTTGAAGTAATTAAGGAGAAATGGAAATAAATCTGTTATGGTGGTGGCAGAATTTTGGTGTAAAAGTGTTTATACATGCATTCAAAATGTATTTGGTACCATAAAAATGAAAAATTGTGATAGATCTACATTTCTATATAGAAAGGTTTCTATAAATATTGAATGACAACAGATATCTAAAAATAGTATTTATGTCACGATCCTAAGTACTGTACTGTGAGCCAACCACAAAGTTGGTGGTTCTAGCTTACCAGCTGCTCCACAGAATAAAGATGAGGCTTTCTGTTCCTACAAAGATTTACAGCCTGGAAAACCCTATACAGGGAACTTTGAGTCGGAATGGATTCAACGACACTTAACAATTTTTGTTTAAAATAGTCTGTATGTGTTTATACCTCCATACACACACACATGTACGGATTCTATAAGAATAAATACTATTGTCTTAATATGGGTTCTCTGGAGAAGCAAAACCAATTTTTTCCCAGATTTATCTGAAAGAAATTGTTCATGTAGGTGTGAAGGCGGACATGGTTAAGCTCTAAATCTTTGGGTCAGGTGTCAGACTGGTGGCTTCTGAAGTCATGTTGTTTTAGGGGCTGATGAACCCACAATCAGCAAGTCAGACATCAGACTGGTGGCTCATAGACCTGCAGAAGGTGTTGAACCTTAAAATCGGCAGGTTCCTGGCCCATGGGACTGTGGAAGCTGGTTAATCACAGAATTGGCAAGTCAGACAACAGGTTGTTAGCTCAAGTCTCAAGAGCCAAAGAGTCAGATGACAATGAGCCAGATGCAGGATCCTGAGTCAGGGAGAACATCGCCATGGTAACTGGACATTGAATACATGTCTCATCATCAGGGAAACTGCCCTTATGTCAGAATAATGGTGTGACTCGAGTAATGCCTACTTATAAGGCTGATTTGAAAGATAACCTAATACTAATACTGCCTCATTAACATATAGAGGTTAGGATTAACAACAAATAACATGAAAGATACTTATATAATATCACAAAATGGAGGATAAGTACATCAGATCACACAATGGACGGAGACCACGCGATGCTGGGAATCATGGCCTATCCAAGTTGACATGTAACAACCATCAGAGTCTACCACTTGTCAATTTGACACCTGTACTCATCTCCTTAACATACGTGAGGAGCCATAGAGTCGGTTCTGACTCATAGTGACCCTGTATAGGGTATCCAAGGAGCAGCTAGTGGGTTTGAACCATTGACCTTGTGGTTCACAGTTCAATGCTGATCCTACAGCACCACACCAGGAGTCTCCTTAAAACACACATAAACTATAAATGAAAACAATTACAAAGCCATATTTACACTTCTCGTTGTGTTCTGCTGAATCAGTTCCCTGTAAAGAGTTTCCAAGAGTAGCTGGTGGCTTTGAACTGTCAACCTTGCAGTTAGCAGTCCAGTGTTGATCCTACAGCGCCACACCATGGCTCTACTTATACTTAACAAGATGTAACTAGCATACATATAACTGAAAATACACTCACTCTGTTTCTTACTTTTCTAGTGCAGCTCTGATAGAAAGACCACAAGTGGGTGACGCCAACAAACAAACTTATTCTCTCATAGTTTAGAAGGAATGCCAACTCTAGAGAAGCAAAATCAGTGAAGTTTATATATATATATATATATATGAATGGTGATGGTGTGCCTCTAAGTTGGTTCGGACTAATAGTGACCCTGTATAAGGTTTCTGTATAGGTACAGCCTCATCTTTTCTCCTGCAGAGCAACTGGTAGTTTCAAACTGCTGACCTTGTGGTTAGCAGCCCAACATATAACCACTACCAGGGCATATATATGTGAGTGTGTGTGTGTGTATTGTTGTTAAGTGCTATGGAGTCAGTTCCAACTCATAGTACCCTGTCTAGGGCTTTCAAGAAGTGACGGGGGGTTTGAATTGCTGATCAGTTCACACCAGCCTTATAGTCCAGTGCATTACCCTGAAGCACCATACCAGGTCTCCATATACGTATATAGACATATATAAATTAAGCTGTTGTTGTTAAGTGCCACAAAGTTGGTTCTTACTCATAGTGATCCTGTATAAGGTTTCCAAGGCTTTAAATCTTTGCGGGAGCAGAAAGTCTCATCTTTCTCCGATTATATTAATATATTCATATATGTATATACACACACACCATCACAGTGAGTCAAAAATTATCTGCACTTTGGCTGTAGAATTTATTTTATTTTAATCAACCTTTAGAAAAGACAAATACAGCATTTTTCGATACACTTTCTTATTTGTCTGTCAATGAGCTTTCATGTTCCCTTATTTAAAAATGTTTTAGGTAGAGCTGCAAGCCATGAATGCACCTGTCTTCACTTTTTCAACAGAAGGGAAACTTCGTCCTTGAAGGGCTGCTTTCAGGGGGCCAAACAAATGAAAGTCCGAAAGAGCAAGATCAGGACTACAGGGAGGATGTTTTAAAACCTCAAAATGAAGTTTTTGCAGTGTCTACAGTGTGGGCAGAGGTGTGTGGATGTGCATTGTCACACAAGATCACAATGCCCTTGGATAGCAGTCCTCTGTGTTTAATCCAAAGTAGAGGCTTCAGCTCTTCAGTGAGCATGTCACTGTAGTGAGCACTGTTGATTGTTGAACCTTTTTCTTGATAAGGTTCCAATACTGACTGGCCCTTCAGAAGCCCAGAAAACTATAAGCATCAACTTCCCAGTTGTTGGTTGACTTTTGACCTTTTTCTTGGTTTTAAGGTTGTTTCCATTCCATACTCTGCTGTTTACTCTCAGGTTCATAGTGATGAATCCATGTCTTGTCACCAGTAATGATTTTTTTTTTTTTAATGTTTTATTGTGAATTATATGATAGTTTACATGGCGGAACTTCAGTTTTACATTCATTCCATC